AGCTCCAAGGTCTTGGAGAGGTGGGCATATTTGAATGTATTATTTTGTGATGCCAGAGAAACTACCAGCTAATCATGTCCCCCAGGAGAGCCTGGAACACACTCTCTTCACTGAAGCAATAAGGAGTGTCCCCAAAAGAAGGATAATAGCACCAAAAGAAGCTCAGTGGTATCTGTTCTCTGTAGACCAGGTTTGAGGTTGTAAATATATTGCTGTATTTCACGGGGGATGACACCCGACATGGTTAAGGTTTAAGAAGGGGCACTACCATTAAATGTTGTCAGTATATTTAGTGTTGTGTCCTGGATAACTAGCTTCAAAAGGTGGAAGAAGTAGGAGTGAAGCCTCCCACTATCACTTGGAATAATCCATTTAAGAAAGTGGGCTTCCCCTTTTTAGAACTTCAGAATCTACAGAGTTAGAGGGTTTGGTACTTCTACCAGGGGACTCAGTAAGTGTTCCACTAAATTTACAGCTTCAGCTGCTGCCTGATTATTTTTGGCTCCTCATGCCCACAGGCCAGGAGTTAGAGAAGGCAGTTTACTCTATAGGCAAGAGTAATTCATCCTGATTACCAAGAGGACATAGAATTGCTGCTAAATAATGGATTAGGAAGGAAGGAGTACATCTGCAAACCATGGGACTCAGTGGGGTGCCTCTGGATGCTTCGTGCCTGGTGAGAGGCAATGGCAGCAACATCTATGAGGAAAAGTAACTGGGTTACANATTCCCACATGGGGCTGAGCTGAGCTGCCGCTGAGCTGCCAACAGGTGGCAGGATGGCTCAGCTAAAAAAATAAAACAAATAAATAAACAAACAAAAAACCAAATGGGAATCAAAGTATCGGTTTAGTAATAGCTGGGTAGGCACCTCATAACTACCCAAATGTAGAGCTTATTTAGTGAGTTGTGCTGGCCCAGGAGGCCAAGGCCTGGAAGGCTAAGTGAGGCTACCCATTCCCATTTTCCTTGAATCTGAGACTTTAGAGTACCTGGACCTGGCTTCCAATTGGTCACTTAAACAAGTGGCTGGACTCAAGAGCAAAACATTGAGCTGGGTGTGTCCCTGCCTAGGTCACATTACTGCTTGGGAGCAGGTAGTTCAAGTGTGATACCTGGACACAACACCAGGAAGAGGAGGAGTGACAGGGCATGCAAACCATGGGCCGTGACGTGACGTGCAGACGTAGTAACCTGTGCAGCAGAGAAGAGGGCAGAAGTAAGCTGTTCTCCATGGACTAGCTTCTACAGTGTGAGGGACATTCTTGAGCTGAAATGAAGGTAGATAGGCCACTCCCACTTTACCCCAACAATAACAACAAAATCAATAAGAACAAAAATGAATCCTGGGATTAAACAAGATTGTGTATATAAAGTGCCCATCACTGATCACACTGTAAAAGCACCAATGATCACTACACCCAGTGAAGAGAAGCCATTTTTTACTAGATAAGTATTATCATCAAGATGATTGCATAGATGACAAAAGGGAGGCTCAGAGACAGGAATTCTACTCTGGTATAAAAACCAATAACAATAACATCACAAAAAGCACAAAAGCAACCAGAACTTCATCTTGTTTTAGATTTAGTAACCCCAGCAGCATTTTTTATGAAGGCTCTATAAATAGAAGAAAATTACCAAGCTGTTGTCTAGGGCTTGAAAGTTCCAACCTTAAGCTTTCATAGCAGATGAACTCAGGGCTGGGCTTGAAGGATATCAATATTTACATCGAATGTGATTAGGCATTAGTCATAGATACCATTTGGAAACCATCACCACCTCTTACATTTTCCATGTGATGACTTCATGCAGTGATCTCAAAATATATCAACAACTTTGATATATATACAAAAATTAGGGATGAGTAGTTACACTTCAGATTGGACAACAAGGTTTTATAGTAAAACAGTTTGACCAGGAAGTCCTTATCTCTTTACGTTAACTAATAGGAGACACATCAGAGAAATTCTACAAAGCGTGATAAAAACAGTCATATGTGACTTTACTGGAGATCAAATTTTTGTGTTTAGTACACTGGTAGTAAATATTTTGCATTTTTCAGTTTTCTGACTGTCAGATAAAAGGCAATTTAATTTATAGTAACTGAACAATGTATTTTAGATTTAAACGTTTGCTCCATGTTTTCCCCAATTTTGAATTTATCTTATTCTTGAACTAGACTCATGTTTCTGACTTCATATTTTCCTTTAAAGATTATATCTATCTGGATTGTCTCAGCAATGTCACAGTAATAAACAACTCCAAATCTCTGTGGCTTAAACAACCAGGTTATAATTCTCACTCATGCTACATGTGCCATCATGGGATATACGGCTGTTCTTGACCCTCATTCACAGACCTCGGCCAAGAGAATTTCAATCTCTGTGCTGCCATTACTGCCTAACCAGGGGCAGAAGAACATGATGAATTGAGCATGGGTTCTTATTACTACTATACGAAAGTGGGACACATCAATTCTCCTTACATTTCATTGTCCAATGAAAGTAATATGTCCATGCCTAGCATCAAAGAGGTCAGAAGAGCATTCGACCCAAAGGCAGAGAGCCAGAAATACTTGGGAAACTCCTAATGACCACTCTAAGAGCTATCTTATTATTCCTATTTCGTAGCTAGGTCAGAAAAGTAGTATGTGGCAGAAGGTAATTACAAACCTAAGTTAAATTGAAGACTTACGTATCTTCTACAAGATTATGTCATAGTGTAAGAATATGGGAAAATAAGAAAATTGCCCTCTAACTTAAATTCAGCCTACTAAGTGAGCCCATAAAACATTATTCCTCCTATGTGATGAAACAAAATAAGTATTTTTACCTTCGTGAAGAACTGAAAAGTAAAATTCTTTGAATGAATAAAGGGGAATGAAGGGAGTAGAAAGAGAATTCATGGATCAGCTATAGGAAGGGATATTTAAATGAATTGCCAAAATTACTGCCCTTCCGTCACATAGAGGTCTCTACTCCAGCATTATTTTAGAATATTGAATTAAAAAACTTCTGTCACATAGAGGTCTCTGCTCCAGCATTATTTTGGAATATTGAATTAAAAAGCTGTTTTTGTTTTTGTTTTTTTTCCTCTTAGGAAAACATAAACATCGACGAAGCCTCCAGATGCCTGGTGAAACATATACTTGCGAATGAGTGTGACCTGATGGAGTCCATCGAGCCGGACATCGTGAAGCCCCATCTCACATCGCCCAAGGTTGTCAGCTGCTCCGGTTGCACCAAATCTTAGTTAACAATTTCATCTTCTCATGAATTGTGCCTCAATTTTTTTACCATGTTGTGTAAATGTCATGATAGGGACACATGTGTGGCAAACCAAAGATCTATGTCTGTATCTTTCCTATAAGAGAGAGAAATAACAAATATTCTTTTTATGTTCCCCCCCCACACATCAGCACAGTGTTTACAAGCTTTTAAACTATTTAGTCTGTTACAAAATTCCGTCTTGTAGCTGACCACTGTTGTGTAGGGCCACAGTGGTCCTTGTTATTTGCTTCTTTGAATCAGCCAAGGCCTCAGGTCTTAAAGAGAAAGGGGAGTAGAGCAAACTGGCTGGCAAGTTAAGCATTGGCTTTCGCTTTGCCCCTAGTATCTTTGTCCAGATTTCAATACGGTCTCTGCTGCTCTGACAGGCCTCTTACGTAGAAACAGTATTTTCTCCAGAGATGACCACAATTCTCAACAAACAAGAGTTATCTCTGATTTAGCTCTTCAGAGTCACATATCCAGGCTTCCTGTGCTTTTGTTGCTTTTGTTGTCACTTCCAGCCCCTGAATGTCAGTATAACTGAATATGGTATGAAAAGACTGGCCCCCTGTATGTGCCTTTTTGTTAGGTTTCTCTGACTCAAGCTGTGGGACTATTCTGTATGTGTAATATATGTTATATATATTTTCACAAGAGAAAAATAAAACATTAACAGATGCTGCTTCCTTATTTCTGAAAGTGCTTTTAATTTCTTAATATTGTGAATTTTTTTTTTACTATGTATCCATGGTTCTCAAGACCCATTTCTAAAATTTTATTTCAAACAGGAGATGGGAAATGTTCATTTATTTAAAGGAACTGCTGGGCACTCTTAAAACTGAGATGAGTCTATTCCATCTGCATCTGCTGGTCATACTGGCATTTAGGCCAAGAAAGTAAGTAGTGTATACAAATATTTTGGGTTAAGCAAAGAAATATATCCTCATATATTCTGATCAAAAAGGTGCCAGACCAATCAACAGATGAAAAAAAAACTAAAATATTCATGGCGATATCTTGTTTTACATGATGGCTGTGGTGCTCATATGCTGCAGGTAACTACTACTTTTTAATGGCTTTATTTTTCATTCATATTCATAATACACTCATAGGAGCTTTGCCTTTTGTAACATGTTTTGGCGTGACCTACCCATCTTATTTTGGAATTCACTGTTCCCATAAGCACCAACCACAGAGGTTCCTGTTATAAGTATTTGTGCCACTTTCCCTGAGGATATTCTCTAGCTTCAGGAGCACTTGATCTGTGAGGCAAGCAGGCCAGAAGTGCCGGGGAGTTCATGTCTCCAGGAGCAGCCCTCAACCAGTGATAGCAGGAATTGGGGGATAAATACCTTGGGTTCTTTGTCCCTCCAGAAGAACAATTCTGAGGCAAGCACTATGCAGTCTCTCAGAATTTCCCAGTGGGATTAAGCCCCTGGTTCCCATGTGACTCATCCTTTATTGGCTTCCTCTCCTTCTTTCCTCACTTCCCCACTCCTCTACTGGTGCTTCCTGGGTTCACTTTCCCAAAAAACTACTTTCACGCCAATCCTTGTTTCGGGGTCTTAGAAGGGTACTCAAGCCCAGCCTAAGTTAGCTGGGAGAGAGGTGGCCTAGGAAGCAGCTCCTCAGTATCAGCTTCTTGAAATGAATTATTCACCACCCAGGTGATAGCAAGGACCCCTTTGCTGAGGCATAATGCAGTCAGGCTAATCCCTGGCAAAATGCAACACCATAATTACTAAGACTCCTATCAGGTTGATGGGGATAGAATATGGATGGAAGGAAATTCTATTGCTGTTATGTTTGAAAGACACGAGATTGTGGAGTTAGTTAACCTCCAAAGGAATTCTGTAGGAAAAAAAATTACAGACTTAGGTCAGCCAACATTCGACTCAGGATTTGGCATGAAATCTTGAAGAACCTGCAAGCAACAATCAAAATGATCCTCCTTTTCTTTAGAAGCAGGATAGACCATGCTGAAAATGAGGCCTCAGATTTTATTTTAGGAGAGGCAGAGTTGTAAAGTAGGCCAAATTCACAGAGTTGGAAACTTCTTCTACTAAAATCAGGACCCTGGCAGGGAAGGAGTCGGATACTGCAATATAGGCGGAGATATTTAGGTAGATGCTCTTAAGGGTCTTGAGCCCAGAGATTCATTTGAAGCTCTGGCCCAGAAAAAGGGGCCCTCACCCTTTCCAGTGGGAAAACAGCCAATTGCCTCATAAGAGCTCCACCTTAGTAGGATGTTTATAAGGTGATGCTTTCCCTTCTTAGTTCTGCTCCCATCTCCCCTCATTGCTTCTGGACAAATAACTAGGATCAAGTCTCAGTATGAGAGCAGAAAAATATGACCTTTGTTGCAGGATGAAATAGATTACTAATCAAATGAACTATAGAACCTGACTACTCAGTACTAGCGGGACTGAGAAGATTCTGAGGAATTGGTCTTGAGATGCTAGATCAGGGAGGACAGAATGTAAGACCAAATAACACATAATCTATTTCTATGAGAGTGCTCTTTCATGAGTTAATTTATAACATTCTGGCAAGTACACCTGGAGCTAATCTCCATGTTCTACCGGAATAGTTATTTG